GTCCGCCGGACTCGCACTCAAGCCGTCAGACTGTTCTTTCGCCTCTGACGAGTTGATGTTCCTAGGCCACATGGTTAGTAACATTGGCGTCTGCCCAGGCCCCAAGAAAACTCGTGCAGCCGCGGGATTTCCAGCGCAGACAGACAAAAAGGCCATGCAAAGATTCTTTGGACTTTGTGCCTACTTTCGACGTTTGTTTGGGATTTCGCAAGGATTTCTGCACCGCTCACAAACCTTACGAAAGATGCCGAGATGTTTGAATGGGCCGAGGAGCAACAGCAGGCATTCGCAGGCTGAAGCGAATACTCTAGACTTCTCCTGTTCTTAGACCCTTTGAATAGGACGGAGAAACCAAGATTCACACAGAAGCTAGTAGTGCAGGACTCGGGGCGGTACTGGGTTAAGTGCAAGGAGGCACTTAACCCAGTACCCTTTGGTACTGGGTTGCCCTTTGGTGAACACTTTCAACTGATCTTACAAGATAAACCTCATTGGAGTTTTGTATGAAGCTGCAGTACTCTAGGTGTTGCAGGACCAAGGCTGTGAAAGGCATCTAAGTGTGTTATGGCCTGTTCTACTAGGCATGCGAAGTACAAAATTCAGCGTTCCACACGTTTTGGACAAAATTGTTGACATGCTGTGGGAAGAAATGTAGCTGAATGTTTATTGCAGACCTTCTCAATGTTGTTCTGCAAACCCTCGTGGTTTCTGGGGTCACCTGATAAGCGGCACCAACATCCGGTTGTCCGTAACAGCAGTGGAGTCGATTGCAGAGAGGCATTATTATGATTAATAAATATGTTGAGAACAATTGGACTGGGCACACTGTCTCACGGAACTGTCCAGCACTTGGGTCACTGGAAATGGTTCCATGGTATGTACTGCACTCTGAGCGACTCAACTTCAAGAGTTCTAGTATGCACACATTTAATTCGCGTTAATGAGCACCAGTGGCTCGCTGGGCAAGCCGTAGGACTCAGCTTTCACGAAAGGCGGGGCAGAACTCGCAGCATAACAGCACCTTGCCATGCTTGTGGGAGGTTCATACTCCAGGTTACGGCGTCGCCAAAAGGGTAATCGGAAAGGTACCAGGACCAGCACAGCTCTACACTTCTTAGAACGATCCTTTCTGTAAGCAGTGTTCTCCACTGTATCAATCGACAAGGTGACCGCCATAAACCGAATCGTGCATCCACGTTTTACGTACCGCTAGAACCGTCGTGGGATGAGTCTCGAGAGTGAGTAAAGGTGCATCAGCTTATTCGGGACCAAGTGCCCATTTTGAGAATTACACTGAGAGTTGAAGCAACACAGAAGGCTCGCGTCTCGCAGCGTCACCTGTAGAATGACCGTTCGGAGCGTCGGGACACTGTGAAGGTAACACCATTCACATCGAAGAGCTCACCACTGAAGGGGGGTTACCGAGTTTTTAAGAGCCACTAATCGTAGTAATCGCATTCCAAAGACGCCGGGTTGTCGTAGATTGTCTTTCACCAGCTAGGTCATGTAGGGCTGAGGCCAAGGCTGGGGGATCCGACGCCGGAAACGTGCAGGAACCAAGCAGACGACGTGAGGCTCGCGGAGTCCGAGCCACGATCCGAGAAGCCCTAGTTGCAGCCTTGCCTCCGAGAAGACTGGATATTCTTTCCGGCGGGCACACAATACTTAGACAGCACGCCTGCGGCTGATGCGGATCGCAAGAGGTGGATAACAAGACGATCAGTGAACAGCCAATAGGTCCAGCACGCCGCACGGCACAGAGCACAAACAGAGACGATTGTCGCCGCCATGTTAAAATAAAACGAGGCTGAGCCAGGCCAAGCTTTAGTTTAGTACACGCATACTTTATTACAAATAAATATATAAATGTTGAAACAGTTTTTATTTATGTTTAAAATTTGTAATGTAAGTCGATTAAAGCAGGAACATTTACGTTGCGTCAAATGAGTTTCGTCGTAACACCTGTCGTCAAACCAGCGAACGTCGCCGCATCGCCATCGCCATCGTCACCAAAATCAAAAACAAACCAAGCTGCAAACTCTCGGGCCACCGTATTTCGGGCGGTTTCAGGCCTTTAGGCTTACGGAAAAACATCGAAGAACGTTCTTGAAGAAACAAAGTGTCCCAGGTGCCGGCGTGCCCATAGAGCCAGCTGTGGGTTTCAGTCTACTTGGTGAGTACTTTTCCAGCCCTTTCTTTTCGGAGCGTGTATCGCGTGTGCTTGTGTGTGCAGGCAGCGTGAAAGCGGACGTGTGCGGTTCCTTGTCGCACACATTCTTTGCTCATTGGATGACCCTCAAGCTTTTTCCAAGGAAGTACCGGAACCGACCTGTCACTGAGCGAGCAGTCAAATGGCGGGAACGGACCCAGAGGCAAGTTCCCACGGGGGCGTGGGGCGCCGAGCGAGGCGCTTGGTGAGTGATCGGGGAGCTTTATCTCTTAGATCGGTGTTCAAGGCTTGAGTCCTGCAAATCGGGTGGCGGCTTGGTACCACCTAGCTAGGCGGTGTGTTTTGCGGAACCCATGACTGCTGAAGGTACCAGTTTGCGTCCTAGCGCTCGTATTTGCACCCCGTTTGTTTCCACTGTGGGAGGTCGGATCCAAGTTCGATTTTCGTCCTGGGAAACTACTCGAAATATTGCGTGACCTGCGCCTTTGGAAGTACCGTCTGTATTGGTGACGTTGCTTGCGAAGAGTATAAGGAGTTATTTTTCGACTGTGGCACGGACTTTTTATACATACTAACCCTCTGGCAATACTTTATTGTGAAGGTCGGGAGAAAAAAAACGCGCATTGAGTAGTGCTAAAGAAAACAGAAAAAAAAGGTGTTCCAAACAACTTGAGGAGACCATGAGCTGATTTTCAAGCTACTGCCTCCTCAGTTCATAAGCAAAGTAAGAAATCACGTGGTCTTATTTCACTGGAACCCAAAGTTTTCGCAGCAGTCTGAGAGTCAGCGAGAACAAAGCCTTTGATAAAATTCACGCTTTACATTTTTGCAAGCACCAACAGCCAAAAAGTATAAATTACGTGTAAGCGATTGAGCGAGCGAAGAGACAAGCAATGGCAACCATTTTGCTATCACTCAGTCAGTCTCGCGACAAGGTAATCGCTTGAAAGCGACGGGAGCAAGCAGTCAAGTAATTGAGCGACATTTTCTAGAAATCCAAAAACCGAGCTACAGTGACAAGTCTCAGTTGCTCGTCTCGTTGCTTGCTAAACCGCTTACATGCGTTTCAGCCTTTATTGTGCGAATGCGAGAGAGACGTGCCATGAGTGAGTGCTGTGTTGCCAATCATTTCATTTAATTTATTTTCACCTTAAGGGCATGGTCAGGATTCGTGCAGTGTGCAACTCGTGCACTGGCACTTACGTGCCATTGTTATACAAATAAAGACAAACAAGAAAAGGAAGCTCATTAATCATACACAGTGGCAATAAAATACTTTTAACAAGAAAAATGAATCCGTAAGCTTGCTAGAAATACTTCTGGGATTACGATGGTGGATGGTAGGCTGTTCCAGTTGCAGATGGCTTGAGAAAGGAAAGACTGATTGAATGCGTTTGTGGAACTGGAAATACAAGATGACGTTCATTCCGGAGGTGGTGATAAAGAGTTCTTGAGGTCGGGGCAATGATAGTCGACTTTATGAAGGAGGCAGAGGCGAGATAGCTTTATGCCGAGCTGCAAAGAATTCACTTCTAAGTACCTCTCCTTTCAGGGCTATATTGCCATTTGCTTACAAGTGCTGCATGGGCCTCGTGCACTGGCACTTACACGCCAGTTCCAAAACTAACACAAACACATCAGGGGGTTTTAGGCGGGTTAGCCATCCTACAAAATGGTGCTGCTCAGTTAATTTATATCAAGTTCAAAATGAACAGCACTCTTCATTGATGGCTGATTCATACGACGAACTGATCCACACAAAGGAGCACACTCACAAACGACAGGCAGGACGTACCAAACATGTTCGCGGCCCCACACTGCTGAGAAGCTCTAACATTGTGCGATCACACTGTGACACAGTTGTCACAAATCGAAATCAACATTTTCTACTTTAAAAAAAGAACTCTGCGCCACTGTTACGTGCAGATGGAGACTTAACACAATGATAGGCTTAGTGCGAAGCACCATTAGCTTTACTAAACAAAGTCATGATAAAAACACAAGCGTAGTCCTACTCGAGGAGACTTTGGCGTAGAAGCGACGAAGTCCTGGGCTCGCCACGGGGCATTTGGAGACGCCTTCACTCACTCCGTGCTTGCGCCTTCAATACACCACAGCCACAAGAAAGTAGGGGTGCCGCGAACTTTTGGCAAACCGGATTTTTAGGTCGAGCATTTGGGGTTCGACTGTGTCAAACCGGTTCGACAAACCTTCGAAACTTTTAACCAGATTTGACTTGTTCGACTTTGTGGACAGCGTGGCAAGACCATGATACAAGCATGTCTAGGTCTACAAAAATTGTGTTTCACTCAAAAGGTTATTTTAATTTTATAAACAGTTGCAAATAAAAGAAACTAACTCTAACTACTGAACAAGTTAATAACTTACTTTTTTGTACTGTATTAACTGGAATAACCAATAGGTGCTGCCCTTAATTCATCCCTTAGCCATCACCATCCAATCCCAAGCCAACTGGCCAGCATGTCGCGCGTGCGAACAGCAGTCGAACATTTTTCTAACTTTTCGCAAGAAGTTGGAAAAAGGCGAACCTGGTCAAACTCGAACGTCGGCTGGTTTGTGACACCCCTACAAGAAAGGTCTTGCTGGCTGAACGGTTCATTGGAGATGCAAAGCGCTTCCGTCGTTCTAGACACGATTTGACAGGAGCTTTTTGACGCAGATGAATACCAGAATCTGCACCGTGTCAGCCCGGCAAAGTTCCTCATACCAACTTTTTTGATAGGAGAAATGGAATGAAAGAATGTTTTGTGGCAATAGTTGGGGTCATTTTGCTTTAAAAGTCTTACTTCCAATTTTCAGAAAGGCACAAGCATTGGAGACCAGCTGCCTCCACAATCATGCCCCCCTGCTTTCCTGGTAGTTGCTGTCGGTGAGTAACCTGAGCCTTTGGCTTTTCTACCTTTCTAATAGAAATGAATGGTTCTTCTACACGTGCTAAAGTGAGAAGTATGCTACTGCTATGTTTTTCAGTTTTGTAACCCTTTATTTCCTCAGACCAAAAATTTTTCTTCAGCTTGGTTCAGATGCCCAATACATTCATGGAATATTGTGTCCAGAAATTTCAATTGTGCATTGTGTGTATGTGTGGGGGGGGGGGGGAGTTTACTTCGCTGGTCCATTTGGTAGACAGGACGTTGTGAGAAAGAGAAGTGTAGATAAAATACAAGTGCAAGTTTTATTATGAAAACCTTTTAATACGGGACTGATGAAAAAATTAGAATATGAAACAATATGATGTCCTGTCTTCCTTTTTCTTGTTACTTTCTGTAACCTAGTCTTGTGACTTAGAATCATATACTACTACATAAGATTCAATGACATGGAAGGTACTGCAGCTTCTTAAAACCTTAAAAAACACATGCAAAGGAAAAAAAACATTTTTTTTTTAAGACAGCCTTGATGGAAAAAGATTGCTTTAGAACAAATTTACAACGAAAAAATACAATTTTTAGAGCTATATTTATGGCGCAAAACGAATTTGTAGTTGGCGCCCGTGAGAGCCGTCGCTGGTCACGTGTTAGACCTGTGCACCGCCGCGCTGTGTCGCCGAAGCCGCGGAGACCCGCTGCCGCCGCATGCTGAGCACTGTGCGCTGCCGCTCCAATGCATTTCTCCACGGCGGCGGCGCCGTCGTCGTGCAAGTTTGTGTGCTCTGGGGTGCCGCCGCCGTCATCTTACCGGTGTACAGGTTTATCACGTCTGCTTGCGCTTTTTCAGGAGCTTCCTTTGGGCTCTTAAAGTAACTTATTAATCTTTGTTTTTTGTTGCACTTCAAACGAAGATGAATAAGTAACTTTTCGAGACCATACGAAGCATCCGAAAGAGTGCAAGTACCGTAGAATACTGTGCATCCGCCCACACTACACTAAGCGCCCATTCCCAAATTTGTAGGATCTGAGAAAATACACAAAGTACATTTATATGTAAAATTGATGAGCGAAGAAGGGCCCATCCCCGATTTTTTCACGATTATCTCCAAAGTTTGAGTGGGCGCTTGCTCGGTATTTTACGGTACCATGTGACAAATAGCGGCCAATCACGTGATAAATAAGGGCCACTTCTCCGCGGTGCCCGCGGGCGCCAACTACAAATTCGTTTAGCGCCGTAAATATAGCTCTAAAAATTTTTCTTTTTCGTTGTAAATTTGTTTTATGACTTCCTTTTCCTAATCCGGCTGTTTAAAAAAAAAGTTTGCTTTCTTTGCATGTGTCCTTTAACTGTTTTAAGCAAGCCTAGCTCTTCCACCTAGAGCCGTTCCCTAGGCATTTAGGAGGAATGTAGCACGTCCACGCATTCTACCTTGCCCCTTGGCTGTTTTGGACGTCCCAGGCCCGCTCCGAGCTTATTTTGCGGTGCTGCTGAGAGATGGCAGCACGCATATTTTTATTGTACACGTTTTTAAGGATGGCGACCGATTGTGGAGTCATGTGCGGCCCAAGCCGCACAAACTTTAGAAAAGGGGAAAAAAAAAAAAATTTAGGATGAAAAACTGTAAAACAAAAACCGGTTAAGTGGTTAAGGTGAATATTGTGCGACATCATTATGCAGTTTCCTTGTTTCTTCGAGAATATCTAATTGGATACGAAACACATTTTCATGACGTGCAGGCAACGTCAAGAAAAATGTTAAGTGATTGCAGACTCCGCAGTCCATCTATGGCTGATTTACACGACGTGCTAATCCGCGGATGGGTTTATAAAGTGACAAGACGTCCATGGAACGTTAGTCCCCCAAGCGCATCCACACTAAGGAGACGAGCAGGCGACAGCGAGGACATACTATACCTATTCGCAGCCTTGCAATTTTGCGAAACGCTTACATCGCAGTGTGGCACTGTTTTCCAAGAGCAGAAGTGATGTTTGCGACTAGGATCACGGTGCTATCATGAAAAGGAATCGTTGTGCGCCGCTGTTACATACCAAGTGGGCTAAAACATAGTGGCAGGCTTAGAGCGAAGTGTCACTTACTTTACTAACGACATGACACAAGTATGATCCTGCTTCAGGAGGCTTCAGCATCATAGCGATGAAGTCCTGGGGTCGCGGAGAGGCATTTGGAAATACCTTTACACACTGCTCGCTTGTGCACCACTCTTCAGCACAAGCCATAAGAAAGGTCTTGGTGGATGGAAAACTGGGTGGATCTGCAGGAAAGATTGCAGCATGCTAGGCGAGTTTTGACAAGCTTTTTGACACCAACCCGGAGGAGTACCAGGACCTGTGGCGTGTCAGCTGGGCAAAGTTCTTGCAGCTTCTTTCACGCGTGGAGATTTAAGAGTGGCGCGACAAAGCAATGATCCACTCTCTTTGTTTGACTGATTTGAAAACAAAAATATTCGTGAGCTGTTGCTACTCTACCATAAAAACGCTTTTCGAGTAACTCACTTGCCAAAAATCTGCGATTAAGAAGGCACTCTGCCCTTTCAGTATGAGTGTCCGCGGACGAGGGACAAATCTCAGGAATAGCCTACATGATGGTAACTTGACAAATGGTGCACGGATGAAAATTGCAATTCGATGTATCATGTGAATTTGCCATTATTTGGCAATTATCCTAATATGATCAGTTGATCCTAATTAAGAAAGAACAATTGTTCTCTGAAACAATGTAATGAAAGGAGGTTTTTATAAATAATGCCTGCTCATAATGGAAAAGGCTTGGTGGATCAGAGACTTTCCATAGATCAGATGTTACGAATTGCAGGCGTATGCTTAATTGAGAGAAGAGTAAAAGTACAGGCAAGGGTGGTGAATTGCATACATAACTAAACCTGAGACACCGGAAGAAGGACGCGAAAAAGAGAACATCAAACACAACACGTCTCAACCACAGCTGCATTTTTTTTTTACTTCTTAGTCGGTGGGTTGACTTTGGCCAGTGTGGGAACGTTGAGGGCAGTTCTTTTTTCCCCCTTGCTGACAATCTGGGGGTGTGACTTAGTGTGAGGGTTCTTGGCATTGACTGCGGTTTACCCCTATAAAATGGTGTGGTTTTAGAATTAACCTGCAGCTGTGTTCGAGACATTATGTGTGTCGTCCTCTTTTTTGTGTCCTCCTTTTTCCTTCTTCCGGTGTCTCAGATTTAGTTATATATGCTTAATCCATGCTCAAAGTGAAGACATGAGCTTGTGCTGGCATTGCCAACCTTGTGTGCATGGTCTATGAAAAGTGCTTAATGACTGTGGTTAAGAGAGAGGAGTTTCTGCTTTCAAGAACAGCATGGGGTGAATGGAAAAGTGTTCTCACAAACAATGAATTCTCCGGGTTACCCACTCAGTCTAACCGAAGGATGTAGGATAAGCATTTTGAATTCTTTAGGATTTGCCAAGGGATAAAAAAAAATAAATGCACAGAAAAGTAGGGGGAGGAGAATGGCACAAACATTTTGGGGCTTGTGTTCTTACATTTGAATTTTTTGTGCAGGAAGCATTAAGACCCAATCACACTCTTGCAACCGAGTACGACCATGAGAGACGAGACCGGTTTTCAAGCCACTTGCAATCTCTTAGGACCAGCTGCGTTCTGGCGCATCCCGTCCTAAGAACTCGCAAAAGGCTTAAAAACCGGTCTGGTCTCTCTCGGTCTTACTCGGTCACAAGAGTGTGAACGGCACTTTACTGAAACAGCACTTCAGTCACGGGGGCAATAAGTCATTGCTAGTCAATACCTGATTCCACTGATGCATATCAGGCAAACACCTCTTAAAGGGCCCCTGGAAAAAAAAAAGTTTTTTGAACAGTCTGATAAGGACACTCGTGCCAAAAAATAAATTTTATGCGAAAATAATTAATTTTTTAGAGCAATATTGACGGCAAGAGATTTATTTTAAATTCTGCGCGCAAAGTCCATGACGTCCCGGAATGGTCATTCGCTCTCGCCACCTCAACACGAAGGCAAAGCTGATCTCCCTCTCCTCTACTCGCTCAAAGTGCCCAGAGGAAACAGGTGGAAGGGAGGTGACTACCGACTAAATTGCGTCTCGCGCCGTCAATATTGCTCTGACTAATTTTTTTTTCACGTAAAATTAATTATTTGACACGTGTGTCCCAACAAGTCTGTTTAAAAAAAACATTTGTTTTTCTTTTCAGGGGCCCTTTACTGAAACAACTTTGCTCTCATTGTTCTAATTTAACACTATTGTGGGAAATGACTTCCAGGAAGCATGAACTGCAAAATTCGCTCGTGAAAAGGATTGGTAATTTTTAACAAGATGCTTTGTCTCTTCCAGTTGTACCAAAAAGTGCATAAGGGGTGGACGTTACTTAACCATCATTTCAATCCTGGGGACATGGAGTCATTGCTAACCAGGGCCGGTCACTGCTATCCAAAACAAGACTTCATAGGTGCATATCAGGTTAGTACTTTTTTCTGGTATTTATTTTTTTATTTTAACGAGACAACCTTGATATGCAGAACAGTAATTCTTTCAGAATATACATAGTTTCTAATTTCCAGAGAATTGAGCTCATCTTTCTGAAGTTCCAAATCAAAAGCACAGGCTGTAACCTATTTTTGCCAAACATCATGCAGTTTTGTTGGTTTGCTTTTCATAATGAACGATTCAACTCCGCTGGTGCAAGGGCATCGATAGATTTCTGGAACCATTAAACACAGATGGAGCACCTTATCTGGCGTGTGGCTTGTTAAAGGGATACTGAACCGAAATTTGAATTTCGCGAAATAAGGCTCTAGAGGCGTTGAACAGGACTCTACGAACTCCAAAACATTACTCGTACATCGATGTCTCAAACAGATCGCTGCACTTTTGGAAAAGAAGGGCACGATCAAGCGAGGTCTTTGACATCACTGTCCTCCGGGAGAATTTGAGAATGAGGGGAAGCGGCCTCGCTTCTCTGCTCCTCGCTTCCGTTCACCAGCTTGACACGGGACGTAGCGAGGAGGAGACGGAATGAGAATCGTGACGTGCCTTGTCTCGTCGGCCTCCTCGGCCGGTCACTTCTTTTCTAAAAATATGGCGATCCGTTAGAGATATCGCTGTATGAGTGATGTTCTTGGGTTTTGCAACGTCCCGCCTATCTGTCCAGCCTTGTTTTGCGAGTTCGAAATTTCAGTTCAGTATCCCTTTAACCTCGAGGTGTATGTCCTATGCCTTCTTCCAGGTGCTGGGCATGTTGAGTTTGCGATCCTTTACCCTTACTCCGAGTGCAGCAACTGTGCTCTGTGTTTCACGATAACTTGACGAGCTGTGGAGGCTGCGGCCTTCCCGACCCAATAAGAGCGTCGAAGCAAGGCACGTGACAGCAACCCCATGGTTGAGGTCGCTGTCGAATCGCTTGGTTGAGATTGCTGTCGAATCGTTTTTACGAATCGGCTACAATTGCTGAAAAAGTAGGTCCCGTAAACAATTCCGGTAAAGTGTAAACACATTGGAATCTATATGGAGATCCCACTGCATCGCGAAAATGAGAACCCGCGAATTATTTCAAAACTTCAGCTTCGACCTTAATTGCGAAATATGGAGCCCGCGAAAAATAAGTCTGCAGTAAGCGCAAATAAAGTTATTTCCTTATGAATTCCAGGATTTGAGTGTTTCTGGCTTACATTTGTCTAGTCTAAACTAAAATTTTGTGCTTAATGGACTGCAGGGATGACTTACTTAACTAAACGTTCCTGTCCATGCATATAATAATTTATTAATTATACTATACTAAGATTATGTGGCTACACTTCCATTAAAGGTGTAGGGAAACGAAATTTCAGCGCTCATTTCCTAGCTTTAATGTGTTGCATGTTGCACCCTAACCTCAAAATCACCAGTCTTCCGTTGAAAAGCACAAGAAAACTAATTTTAGAGCTAAATAAACGACTTTCAATGTGCACCTGGTGGATGCATTCTGTTATGATCGGCCACCCAGAGAGCAGGTTCGGCTTCCTGGCAGAGCCATCGACCTCCCATCGACTGACCAGAGTCTCGGGCTCTGCATTCTGGCGCCGCCGAACATGCTGACCGACGCGGCGTGGGTGGGGTGCAGCTTCCGAGCGACGCCGAGCGGGCCACCCGGCACAGCGGGAGCTGACCCCCCTGACACCCCGCTGAGAAACAGAGGCCCACTTCCTCAGCCTTCGGACCGGGTGCTAACGAACAATGGAGACAAGTGGAGACGTTTGGGTCTCGGCGTATGATCGGGACAGCTGCCTGTTCCTGCGTTCTTCTGGGAAACGGGACGAGAGGGATGCTTGGACCGGGGTGTGACCACGTGGGAGGTCTGCGTCCCGGGAGACTGCAGAGACGTCCCGTGGTGACGAAAGTTGTATGCTATGTAAGTTGACGAAAGTTGTATGTTATGTATTTTCCGTCATGCGGTGATGTATTGCCTTGATAAATGTTTGTGATATTTTTCAAAATGTGAAAGTTGCAGAAGGTAGATGATTTTAAATATTAGGTCAGTCATAAAATTTAAGTCAATAGACCCTTTTCCAACGTCAGTGCGAACGCCTGTACGCCATTGCTTGCTCTCATACTCTGAGTATATACTGAAAGCGAGCCCTGCGTCAGCGTTCAGCGAGAACTCGGATCCAGTCACGCACTTCGTGAGCAAGCAGTACTGACAGCCATTGTTGCTTGATAGATTTTTGAAAAGGGTTTACTGACTAGATAGATATTGTACAAACTATTTTACGAGAACATGTAATGTGACTGTCGGTTTTGTTTACATTACTTTCAGGTGCCCGTCGGAGGTGCGTCAGCCTGTGACCAACTGGGAAAGCAGATGCAGCTCGCCTCAAAGAATTGCCTCATTAGCATGCATGAGCTACTTCAAAGTCTGAGACTGGAGGACAAATAAACGAGCCTGCGGGTGGAATGCATGTTCACAATTTCTCGAAGTTCGAGCATTTCTCTGTGCATGCACTTTCTGCTATCTTGCATAGGCTTTAAAAGGAAAGTGTTTCCCTGCTGAACTTCATGTTTCACTGATGAGTGAACCATGTGGTTAATACGATCGATATACACCAATACGCGGCTCTGACGTCGCGTTGCTACGGTGGCGCTGCTACTGTTAGGGCGCATGTGCAGACGCTTTACGTCACGTGAATGTCGTTCTTGTGCACACGCAGTGCTTGCACCTCGTGTAGAAACTGAATTTGTTCACACCTCGTGAAAGCTTGTTGGTAAATAGTGCGTTGGCCTATAGATCATATGAACGATTTAAACTGCATGAACAATATCATCCATAACAACCATAGGCCATACAAACCATATGGACCATACAAACCGTACCAACCCGTATCAACCATATGACCCATACCAACCGTATGAACCATATGACCCGTACGAACCATATGACCCATACCAACCGTATGAACCATATGACCCGTACGAACCATATGACCCGTACCAACCGTATGAACCATATGACCCATACGAACCATATGACCCGTACCAACCATATGACCCGTACCAACCGTATGACCCGTACCAACCGTATGACCCGTATCCCATAACGCTATATGAAGACCCGTATGGAAAATTCATATGGTTTTTTTCAGTAGGGCAGTCTAAAATATGCGATGCGTCACTCTGAAGAAGGTCACAGTCGTCGATCAAACTAATACTTAAAAAGAGCTTGATGTCGTCTGCGAATAACAGCACGTTTGAGTTTACTACGCAAGTAGATATCTCATTGATAAAGATTAAAAACAATAGTGGACTCAAATTGGAGCCCTGTGGTACTCCCGATGACGGATAAAAAGGATGAGAGAAGTTATTTAAAATGCGTACGACACAACGACAGTACGTCAGGTAGTTTTCAAGTCATAATAAAAGCACAGGAGAAACGCCATTACGTCACAATTTGTGCAGCAGCAATGCGTGGTTCACCTTGTCAAAGGCTTTCGAGAGGTCAAAATAAACTACGTCAACTTGACCGCGATTACAAACAAAAGGCACTGAATAATCAAGGAAGGTACAGAGGTTTGTCTCGACTGAGCGCCCCTTGATAAAACCGTGCTGAAAAGAACTGATACAGCGCTTGAAATAAAAAGACAGACGGGTGTGCATCATTACCCCAAATACCTTTGAAAAAGACAATAGCAATGGTACAGGGCGATAGTTCCCAACTTGTGATGTATCCCCCGTCTTATGAATAGGAACAACAATAGACTCTTTCCACAGAGATGGAAATATAGCCTTACTCAATGAAATATGAAATATATGCTCTAAGATAGGCGCAAAAACAATCGAGCAACCTTTAACAATAAAGTTAGGCACATGATCTGTACCAGATGTTAGTTTCGGCTTCAGTTTCCTTATAGCCGCCAAGATCTCGCTAACAGTGACTTTGTCTACTGCACAAACATCAGAGTAGACAGGATCGTCAAGAAATGCTCTATCTTTAGTAACATCGAAAGAAAAACAACCACTGAAATGACTTGCAAAAAAGTTAGCGATATCCTTCGGGTTAGACAGATAATCAGAATTTCTTCTTACACAGATACCGTGTGTACTGCCTTTTGTATGTTGTCTAGCAAATTTCCAAAACTTATCTGGTTTGTTAAAAATATTGTTTTCTACTACGTTTAAATGCACACATTCGTCATGAATAAACAACTTTTTAACAAGATTCCGATAAATGCTGAACTTAGCATACCACATTTGCCATGCGTTTTTTTTTGTTTTTTTGTTTTTTTTTGTACAAATTTGTGACAATGTGATTTTTTCTTTATGTAATATATTAGATCTTTAGAATACCACGAAGGATACTTTCTAGGTTTCGATGACCGTTTTGGAATAAAGTTTTCCATTCCATTTCTCACTACCGTCGTAAACGACTTTGCCGCTGAGTCGACTGAATCGTCCTTCAAAATGGATGACCAGTCGTAATTTTGAAAAAAACCTATAAAGACCAAAATAATCGCCTGTGTCGAAAGAGTAATACGTCTGCTTTGGGAGAGCTGCAGATTTCAACGAATTATGGAAGGCAACAATAAAGGGTGGGTAAAAAGCGTCAACCATAACAAGTCAAACATCGGCAAGAGTTAAGCCGATGATTGGCACGTTTGAAAGAAAAAGATCAAGGACATTCCCAGCACTGTTATCAAACCCGTTTAATTGACTAAGGCCATTAAAATGTATAAAATTCAATAGGTGAGACGATTTGCTTGCTGTTATAATGTTTAGACTAGTAACAAATCCTGACTGTCAGTTGGCACCAGGTAGGTTAAAATCACCATAAATGTGCACCCTCAACTTAGAAAAGTCAATTTCTTTTTCCAATGTATCAAAGTGTTCATTAAAAATACGATTATCCGATAGGGGAGGGAAATAATAATTCCCAAATAGGTAGTAACAACCATCATTTGAAAGCAATTCTATCCAAACGCATTCTGGGTAGGTTTCAAGGTCCTGTCTGCGATGCGAGGTAACTGACTGATTTACGGCGATTAATACACCCCCTCCGAATTTCTGGCGAGTTAAAGAATAATCACGGTCACGACTGTGAACGGTATGAGAAGGTGGAAAATAGTCTGCACTTGAAATTTCCTCGTTGAGCCATGTTTCAGTTAGACAAATGATATTAAAATTGAAAGAGATTACATTTGGCAGAAATGTGTCCGCTTTGGTTCGTAAGCCACGAGTGTTTTGGTAGTACGTACCCCTGTTCGCATCAAACTAGTCTACGCTGCTGCAATCTGCCTAGTGAAAGGCAGATTGCAGCAGCGTATATCTATAAAAACGTTCGTTGTCCAATAAACGATTATTATCAAATAAGATCTTATATAAGATCATTTAAGAACCACACAGGAGTATAAAAAAGTTATAAAAACTTATAATAAGTAACTTATAACTTCTTATTTAAACTGATACTGTCCTTATATATTCTTATAAGGTCCTTATATGCTTTTATGTGATCTTATTTTATCATCTGCGTTCATTGTGCCAAAATATGTCTTAAGCATATAGGATATTTACCAGGGCTCGGATTTTGGTTAGACGACACTTACAACTTGAAGTTACTTAAATCTCACGCCGCTCACTTCATATGTCGCAACTAACGTTGCACAGCCAGTATATCATTAATTAAAGATAACCTCTCTTAACCTTCTTTTTCTCGTCGCGTCGTAGGTGCTTTTATAATATATCGCACTGATCGTATTATACTATTAAAACTTCGCCACGACTCCTCTACACCGTTATTTATTCACGTATCGATCACCATTTCAAATTTGGCATTCCACTAGAATGCATCATGTACCTAGTCTGCATCATTATAATGCAACTACCTGCGCGCATCATTACTATCAATGCTCTCACAATATTTGTTTAAAGATGTAGTTAATACTTGTGGTGTTTTTGTTTCTTTTTTTCTTTTTTGCAAGTAGCCCGTAACTAATTTTGATGTTCATTTATTTCTATTTTGCTGTGTATAGTTGCCCCTCCCCTTCGAAGCGCCCTTTGACCCTGTGGGTAGTGCAAGAAAAATATAAAAGTGAATTCTTAGCCTAAACAATAGAAGGCCTCAATGCGCTTGGTTCTTTCTCAGTTTGATGACGGAAAAAAACTATATATGCAGGGCATGATCACTTGTAGACATGAAATTAATATGTTTCTTCCACACATCTGTTAATTTCTTTCAAAATAAACAACATCCAGAGCGTATTCTCTTAAGATTTTCAAACGCAAACCCGAAACGAAATGTTTAAAGCGGTGAAATTTGCTCGTAGAGAACAATTTCCAAACAGGATAGTATACACGTTGTTTCTAAAGCAACGAACCAGTAAAGCATCATTGCTTGCTCTTTTATTATTGGATTCAGTGCAGCAGTTTTCTTTTCAGTTCCGGCAGATGAACATCTGAATGAAAGTCCAGAGCCACGTGGTAAGCACATTTATATTTTGTCGCGCAGATCAGTTAAAATTCAAGGAGAGAGTATGCCTACCTGGCGCGAAAAGACTAGAAACGTTTATGAACCCTATGTGACCCTGTTCCCAAGCAGCACATTATGACCGGCTCAAGCTTGAGCCATCCTGGGCAGCCGGGGAAGTTTCACTGGGCCTAGGTTGTTTCGCCCGATGGCGCTAGGCAGCCCCATACTGGTATACCAGTCTGGCGACCACTGGCAGTTCCCTGTGTAGCCATGCACTGGCTCACCGCTGGAATTATGGCCTGGGCCAGGCGGGAACCTCAATGGTACCCCAAGCTTGGCTCTTTATTGTATATACAGCATGGGCCAGTTAGTACCGAGTGGTCAGCCAAGCTTGGCTTGACAGTAGAAATTCAACCCGGACCAGCAAGGCAGTTACTGGCCCTATTGAAAAATTTTGCAAACTGGACCAGTTCAAGCACGATTACTGCCACTGCCTAAAGTGGTTGAACTGGAAAAATTGAAAGTGTGCATACTGGTCTTTCTATGAAAATGTGGATACCGGTCTTACTGTGAAAATGTGTATACTGGTAGTACTGTAGAACTGTGTATACTGGTCAACCCCATGCAGTTAAACCAATTTAACTGGTCGTATTCACAACACAGGTCGTAAATGAATAAAATTCATTTTATTAAAAAAAATACATACTGCAAACCTCAAAAATAAACATAAAAACGTATTTACATTGCAAAAAAAATAGTCACGATAATATTCATGTGTCCTAGCCAGTTAGCGAGATTCTTCACATCTTCTGGAGTGCCGGGGTTCCGGTGGTGGCTAACATAGTACCCCAAGGTATCTGGAATAAGAATAAACATAAGTAATTAGAACCATGGCAGATTTATTTGCACCTGTCTGTTCTAAAACGTTATGTAACTAATGCCACGAACCAAAAATATGCACTATCATAAACAGTATGAGAGAAAATATGGAAACGTGTGGCCAATCGTACATGTGGTGCCAGTCACGCGGCAATTAAGTATAAACCGCATGTAAGCGATTTGACGAGCGACGACGATCCGCTTCGCTTTCGTTCGGTGACTCGTGCGACTCGGCAAACCGCATGAAAGCGACGGGAGCAAGCGACCAAGGTGATGAGCGACGATTTCTAGAAATCCAAAAACCGAGTGACGCGACGAGCGATTGTGGGAAATCTCCGCCGCTCGTCGCTCGCTTAATTGCTTACATGCGGTTCAGCCTTTACGCAAAGCAACGCGTAGGAATGAGAAGATCCTGCTGTTGTTACCCCCTTCCTGCCTCTCCAGTCTGTCGTCCGCTATGCAACTCGCAACAAATGTGGTAGAGAATCTCTGAAGCTGCATGTACACTGGCGGTTGTATTACTAGCATAGCTGTTCCAAATCGGGTTTCAGAAAGGTTCTGTTTCACATGCACCTGATTATGAAAATGAATCTGAATGGTCGAGCCTGCTTACCTGGCTTGCTGGCGCGGAGACGGAGACAGCCATTGCCCACGCCGCCATGAGGACGGAGCGAATTCCGAACACACCATTCTGGGATGCAGCCCTTTCACCCGCGAGCTAGTAGAACTCAGGCGGAGGACGTCATCAACCACAGGAACCCTCGGCATAGACAGCACTCAAGGCGTCAGTAAACTATCTTATACAAACACAGCTTGAAGACAACTTGTAACCTCCGCAAGCAAAACAGCAGACAGCAGCGCGAACAAAGACCCAAGTGCGCGCCAGATCCGTCTTTTTTTTTTTTTTTTTTGGTTTTTTGAATTATTGCCGCCGCCGTATCAAAACTGGCGCTTCGAGCGGGCGCGAGCAGCTCTGGCGCCAGGTAACGCCCTTGAATAAGAAAGGTAGCGCCATCTTCTCCCTACTGCTCTCACGCGCACACCTTTTATCTTTATGTCTTGCTTTTTTACACCCGCGCATCGACTGTAGTGCCGCCTGGATCGGGCCAAGACAGCAGACACGGCCTTTGCTTGAGTCAGAGCGCAGTCAAAGGCTGAAAGACACGCGCAAATACATACACACAGGCTAAAAGCGCTCTGTCTCGGTCTACCAGCTTCGAAGGATGGGCTCAAAGAAAGGCGATGAAAGCCTTGACGTTGCACAGTTGTCGTTATTTGATTGGCGGCATGAGCTCATAGCATGCACTGCACTACAACGGTATAGGCATTCCTTCTCCCTCCTCCTCTGACGCGCACACCTTTTATATTCATGTTTTGCTTTTTTTACACTCGCGGTCGACAGTAGCGCCGCCTGCATCGGTCCAAGGTAGCAGGCGGCATTCTTCAAAGGATGGCGCTACTCTTCCGTATAAAGGGGGTTTAGCGCGAGGGCCGCGCTGATCGGCCCGCGCGCTCCCTGTCCTGGGACGTGAGCAGCTCTCCCCTTTCAAGGCATCCGCGCTGCGCGCGGGGACACTGCATCATCTCCGGTCCCGGGGCACTGGCACATTCCAGGCGTCTGACTCACCTGAGCACTGCACCTGCGGGTGCCGGATTTTTCCGCGCTTTTTCAACATCACGTGGGAGGCTCCCCGCCTCGTGCACTTGCGCTGGAAGCGGCTTCTTCGTGATAAAGTGACTTTACTTCGTGCAAGGCAGGGTGGATAAAGGCCGCGGTAAAAAGCGGGAAAGTTATAAGGTTCGAGTTCGACCAAGTTCGACAGTTTGATTTCCAATTTATCCGGTTCAATCTCACTACGACCAGTTCATTTCGGGCTTCGCCTGTTCATATCCAAACTGTTTTTAAATCGTTTTATTTTTTTTTTTCAGTGGCGAAAACGTGTTATTTTTATGTCTATAGCTAAAACAGACTTCTTGCACTGAAACGTCGCTTCCTAGTGCGAGGGCTCGTGCCACAAAGCACCAAAAAAATGTTCAGAGAATGCTCGTACGAATAAAAAAAGAGTAAATAAGTTAGAAGAACCATAGAGTAACAGTGGCTTTCAGCGGGCATTGTGGGTCCAATAAAATACGAGCTTGAGCCAAGGAACATTGCATAGCGGCAATTCCTTGCCATTCCTCGGCTCACTCTATCTCCAATCTGGCAACATGCCCGAAAAATGGCTGTTGCTCGTATTGAGTCGACCAGTGAATTCCTACGAACCACCGTGGAACCTCAAAGCTTTGCGGAGGCATTGCTACCTTGGCCATCTCTGACCGAGGAAATTCAATAGACAGCCAGGGTACATCAAATACTGGCATCGGCCTGTTTACACTGGCAATCAGTGACCAAGGAAATTGATTGGTCAACCAGGGAAGGCGTTCCCTGGCAGTTCCGTGGCTTTCTGGAGCAAGGAAAGACTGTGAAACGCCAGGCTGACACACAGATGTAAATGGCTGGGCAGTCGTGGCCAAGCATTCAGAACTAGCTTAGTTCTGATAGCTTGGCCAGTGTAAACAGGCCGATGCCAGTATTTGATGTGCCCTGGCTGTCTCTTGATTTTCCTCGGTCAGAGATGGCCAAGCTAGCAATGCCTCCGCCAAGTTTTGAGGTTCCACGGTGGTTCTAAGAGCCAATCCTGGCCCCAGCTAAACCAAGCAGGTGTGCTACCTGGGTTACCATCAATGCGACATCGGAATTTATTCTTTCTCTTGAAAGGTATTTCTGCGCATCAAAGTTTACCACTTAATTTGCGTTTCTAAATTAGCATTTTCTATTGTACTCGTACTATGAATAAACGCCATTCAATCCTAAGAAAAAAAAATGAAATACAAAGTACCCGCTTTCTCGGGCTAACATTCTCGGGCTCTGTCGAACAGTGTGTTTGAGTTAATTTCTGACCACTAAGAGCTTCCTGGTGTCTGGAACATTCTAGCTGATGCAGAGCTTCCCGATGTGTGGCGACCTGAAATGTACATCATGATTGACTGCTCAATAAACGAGTACCTGAGAGGTATCAAAAGGCTACAAGTGCTTTACATCGTAAGGCTTATGAATATCGTGAGTATGCGTTTTGTATTTAATATTTGTACGTTGACTAGATAAAGCTGTAATCCACAGACTTTCGAGAGCTAAACATCGATATTCTCAGTCAACACACCGAGTTTGTCTATCACTTGTTTCGTGCACACAGGTTAATGCAATATTCAAGACGGTCAAGAAACCCCAAATAAACCTCCAACTTGTTGGAATATATCGGTTCCAAGTAAGTATTAAAAATCCAAAGCCCCAGGTTTAAGAATTTCTAGATTTTCAAAATCTTTAAACATTAAAAGCGAGGATATCACATTTAACACTAGATGTACTGGTTTCAATAATTTTATTTCAGTATATTTTGACCTGTATTCCTGATCACAATAAAATTTGCTTATGTGCAATAAAGGTTTCTGGCCGAAAATAATCTTGCTTCCCATGGCTAGTCGGACCATAAAGTTTATATAGAGCGTTGCTAGCATCGAGAACGCACTACGCCGCGATAATCTGCAGGCACTGTCACTTTCTGAAAGAAATGTGTTCTCATTTTAAAAAGTTTCAATATCACTATTTATGTTTCGCAGTGAATGCCTACAGACAAAACAGGATGAGCCATTTATTGTGGAGGAAGATGGCTTCATCGAGGGGCATGAAACGTTGGATGCCTTTGGTAATTTCACAAAGCATACATCGTTTGCGAGACATGCAAATCTCTACTTTTTGCTCGCTGGGTAAGCACGCTAACGAGCATTCGACCTAACGCTTATTTGTATAATAAAACTGAATTAACATACCTTGTTGTTTTATGCCATTTGAATCCCCACAAAATAGTGTGCGTGCGCAAATAGCTGTGTCGGTTGGCTAGTATGAATAAAGCATTTTTGAATGCGAAACCAAATTTTATTAAATAATTGTATAACACTAAAGTACCAAAAGCCTTTTTACATAATAAAGCTTGTGCGCTTTGTAGATGAAAAAAAATTAGTCTATTCTTTCTCATCAAGGAGGTCATTTTTACTGTAAACCTAGATTGGCTTTTGCAGTGAATATAAGTTAGCCGCTAGATGTTCCGATACCTACAAACTCATCTTTAAGTATAGTTGGTGGCAGCTTGATTTAAGTAAAAACTCCTCCCACGCCTTCTTACTTTAGCAGAGCGAACGCTGGAGAGGAGGTGGCCTTCTCTCCAGCGTTCGCTCTACTAAAGTAAAAAGACGTGAAAGGAGCTTCCACTTTACCCTTAACTTATCACCAACTTAGAACTTTAGCATAAAAAAAAATGTTGGAGTTCTGTTTTCTTCTGAAATATAGAGAGAATCATATGTTGTTTGCATTGCGTGGTGCAGATACGATTCATTAATGGTAAAGTGCTTCTATCTCTTTCTATTTTTAGTCAATAAAAAACCAGAATTGTTCAGGTAGTCATTACATTTTCCTAAAGAACAGTGTATGTCACTGGCCTACTGCTATGTACCATGGTTCACTAAGCTAAACACAATTCAATGGACCTCCCACTCGTTGCCTCCTCAGGCGGTAAGATAAAATCTAACTGCTCCAAGAAAGCAGTGGGGAGAACGGCAGATGAAGAAATGTATTTCTTGCATTATTAATGCTTAGCATTAGTGCCCTAGTACATATGCGATGACCTTGGGCAGGTTTTGAACACACGTATGCAACACACGTTCGCAACGCCACCACGGGATGGTGCCACAACCCCACTGGAAATAGGACGCATAGCAACGGAGGCCCGACTAGATTAGCTGGTTATAGGGAGTGACGCCATGGCGTGACACCAACAAACCGAATATCACCGGCGACGCCCCCCCTCGCCAATTTCGGCGCCACGCAGTGGGGGATGGGGGGGTGTCGGTGGGGCGCGTGTTCAACCCACCCCGGCCCCCCGTTCATGCCAATTTGCGGCGAATGTCTGCGGATAGTTTTTTTTCACAAAACATTAACCCACCATAGGCCACTCGTACAGGCCGCCCAGCAACGCCCCGCGGGCGCCCCGCCGGTGGCTCAAGTATGCCCTAGCCCCGTATCCGCCACCGCAACTCCGTTGCTAGGTGTTGTGTCACGCGGTCGCTCTCCATATCCAGCCAAGCCTGTCCGGCCGCCGTGTTATATGTACCCGTTAGCTCAACTGATCTGATTGCAACAGGGAGAAGAGGGGTTTCGGAGGTGTTCATAATGCGAAAAAGTGCTCAGAGGATGCATTCACTATACTTTGTTCATATCCGCTGCGCGAAATGCTCACGCATTACTCCGAGAATCAGCGTGGTGGCAGCAGCGATTTCGACCGATTTTCCTTGTTTTGGTTGTCCTTGTTCGAAGCAAGTCTTAACTAGAGCAATGACTTAGGGGGCTGCAGGCCTTGCCAATAACAGGAAAGGGATGGGGGGAGGAACTGAGGGAAAATACTTTACGAGGTCGTCTAGGATACTGTAAATAAAATAGCGAGTAGTCACGAGGCATTTATTCATCGGGCACTGTCCATATTTTACTAAGTACTTTCTCGGTGTGCTTGGAGTAAGACAGAATAAAGTGCGACAAAATATTTCACCGCCAATAAATAAACTTGAAACTAAATATTGGTATGATTGATTTCAGGCGTCGCTTAGGAAAACGAAACAAAGAAGGGAAAATATCTCCGAATATTCTTGGTAAGACAAATTAATATTCAGCTTTGCATATTCGAATATTGCACACACAAGTTTTACTAGCTGCCAGCTAGAATGACTGAGCTTTATCTTTCTTTCTTGTTATTGTAATGTAAGTTACCTATACAGAATTAATTATTTTGCACTGTTAGAAATCTAGAATCTGTGAGTATAAATTTTACAGCGGTACTTTTGCAGGGCCAACTAACTTCAGGAGCCGCGTGAGCACGAAATGTGTAGGTCGGTCATTCTCTAACCACTTAACAATTTTGAAAAAAATAAAACGGTAACAGGTTCAACGAATCGCGTCCCTGGCACCGGCGTGGAAACCGAGAGCGCTGTTGACTGAGCCACAGACCCAACACACAGTAACGGGAGGAGCAGAAGCCGGTGGTGTGCGAAAGCGTGCGGAGCGGAGAGGGGTGGAAAGGGCAAAAAAATAGAGGAACAGAGACTGGTAAAAGCCACCTAGAGGAGGAAAGCCTGGGGTCTCCCGCGATCAAGTGTGTTACGTCACCACTACATGGCCTACGGTGCGGCTACGGTGTTGTTCGGCTCCGGCTCGGCAGATGGAGCCGGCTTGCTTCGGCGTGTTTAGGCCGATGGGACGGAGCTGGAAAGTAATTAGAAGAACGAAAAGCAGACTGGAGGACTGGTGGCGAAGGACAAACGCAAATTAAACGCGAAGGACAAGGAGAAAGTGAAAGAAATGTTTCTTTTTTTTTGGCTAGGTACGAACGTGATTCGGAACCGCCCGATACAAAGGGAACACCTGCAAGATCATCATCATCATCATCATGTTTCCAGGGCGCTCCACACTGAAAAACGAATGAAAGCAGCTTGTTTCGGCGTGTTCAGAGACGCTTAAGCTTTGTCTCGGTTGGTTTCTTTGTTCGTCTTGTTACAAACGTCGGACAACTTGTGAGTGTTGTGCGTATTGTGCTCGATGATTAAGTGCTGTTTCCGTCATGCCTGACAAATGTTGTGTGCCTCGGTGTAACGGTAATAACAAAACGGGGCCCAAAGTGCACGTGTTCGGCCTTCCTAAAGATGAAGCGCTGTGAAATTCCAGGGTAAACGCCATCTCCTGAGAAAACCTATTCTTTTCCCAAAGAACGCAGGTGAGGAATACCTGTTTTCATTTGTGTATCTCTCATTCGTAGTGGCATAGCGCCATTTCGACGAAATAGATATACAAGGGTTTTGGGAATAGGCGATAACGGCGACGTGTAGCGTTTAATGGTAAGTCGCTATTGTTTATGCGAAGGTTATCTCTTTTTATAATGTGCCAGCGTCACTTCTACGACGACGACGTTCTTCGGGAGGTGTCTCACGTCGACGAAGTTACCAGCAGGACGGTGACTGCGCCGCTGTCTACGGTGTGCCTTCGTCCAGGCCCAGTGCCATCAAAGTTCTCTGGCTGTCCAGATTATTTATCAAAACACCATGCAAGAAAAGAAGGCCCGGACACCAATCAATTGCGTCAAGAGGATTCTGCAATGGAAAGAGCGCTTGCAGTGTCGATCGATTCATTTCGCAATGAAGAAGAAGCGGACCGAATACTGAGCCTAAAAGACTTGTCCGACGAATTGAAAAACGTGTAATCGGCATTCTGGGATGTTATTGAAGGCAATGAACACCTCACTCTGATGCACAATGTTGAGACTGAGGCCTGTTTGATATAATACTCGATCATCGTCAAGCCTGACCTTACAATAACTCTGCATTTTGCGAAGACTCAGGTCACAAGGTTGGTCTCCGACTTGCTCCTGCCAAGCATCGCAAGCAGCAAAAGGGGAGCTGTAGAACTCCTCGAGAGTGTCGAAAATTGGGACAACGATCTCGACTCAAGCTCCGAAAGCTCGCACAACGATATTTGTGCCATTATTCGTTTCCTGCTTCACAAGCAGCATTTAACGCAAAGTGAAGACCAAGCAGCGGTCATCCAACTGCTCGCCGAGCAACTGAAGCTGATTTCTTCTAAGAAAGAGCGAAGGCGTTATGCAGTGGATTTTATGGTTGTTGGCATGCATTCTTTTCACAATATTGCCTCATGCATACCAGTACTTTCGTGGCTGTCGAAGCATTGTTCTGCCACACCCTAGGACCATCCGATCGGTATGCTCCTCGTTTGGAATGAACCCTCTACAAAAGCTGCAAAGTTCAAATTTCCTCAGCTACATGGCAAAAAGGATCTCTGACTTGAACGATGACCAACGTTATGTGACCTCGATGGTCGACGAGGGCCCCATCAAATCGTTTTTGGATTATAAAGGAGGTAGCAATGTAGTTGTCGCACTTAATTCCACAGGATCAGCGAATAGTGCGTTCGTGTTTATGGTGCAAAGCATAAAGTACCAATTTAAGGAAGACGTTCACATCGTACCCGTGCACGAAGCCAAAGCAGAGTTTCTGCAAAAGGTGCTTAGAGACGTGATTTGCGGGCTCGAGAAATTCGGCTACCGGGCGATGTGCGTCCTAACGGTTAACACTGCAGTAAATCGAAAAGCTAAAGTGGCTGTCTTTAAAAGCTCAATGGACAGCCACGACATGCCCGGTACAACAACGCGTCGTTCAAACGAGTTTTGCTACTCACATCCGTCTGGTCCCAACCGGCCGCTGATTTTTGGTGATCGGCACTGTACACATAATCAAGTGCATACGCAATGATTGGCTGAAGCAAGACGATCAATGCTTCTCCTTTCCCGAGCTTCAGGGTAACACGGCAGGCCAGCGGCGCATGCTGTGTGCGTCGTTTAAAACCATCAAAGCCGCTTTCGACTTGGAAAGCGACTAACTGCTGTGTTATGAATACAGAGTGTGAGGAAAGCCCTTTGCTCTTCGAGCATTGAGAAGCAGAACGTGAAAGTTGCTCTCCAGAAACTTGACATCCCTCATGCTAGTGCCCTTCGTGCCATTGGAGAGAAACACAAACTGAAGTTTCTTCAAGGAGACCGCCACTTTAATTGATATTATAGTAACGGTGTGGAAAATTGTGAATATCAAGACCGGTTCGAAGAACCTTTGCGCCCGGCTGTAGACGAGAAGGTGGATTTTCTATACAGCATTTTAGGCTAGTTCGATGAATGGCAGAAAAATGCAAACAACTTCAAATTGACCGACCAAACTCAAACCGCGCAACACCAGTCAACTTACTAGGGATGCAAAACTATCAGTAGTACTATCGATAATCGCCAGAATTCTGACTATCGATATTTTAAAAAAAAACATTGATAGTGCTATCTATGGCTGACTATCGAAAGACTATCGATAGTGCTATCGACAGTCGACTATCGAAAAACTATCGATAGTACTATAAATAGTCGACTATCGAAAAGCTATGAATGGTACTATCGATAGTCGACCATCGGAAAATTATTGTTAATCGACTATTGGAAAACTACCGATAGTTGACTATACGAAACCTATCGATACTACTGTTAACGGTTTACTATCGATAGTTTTGCGACACTAGTAGTTTGCGTCGCTACATATTCTCTTTTTCTCGCTTCATTTTTTTTTTTTAAATGGGACATCAACTAGCCCAAGCACTTACCATCCCAACTTTAATTCAGCATTCAGTGATGACAAAGGCAGGAGTTTGGCCGAAGAGACGAGGAAGGAAGGCGAGCGGCGGTGTGGCAACTGTGCTCGCTCTAGTGGTGCAGAACTATCGATAGTACTATCGATAGTCGACTATCGAAAAACTATTGATAGTACTATCGCCAGTTGACTATCGAGAAACTATCTATGGTACTATCGATTGAAGACTATCGATAGCTATCCGTCACTATCGATAGTTTTGGAAAAACTATCGATATCATCGATAGCCGATTTATCGATAGTCTTGCATCACTACAACTTACGCGCTTCTCGAAGTATGCAGGTACTGCTTCGAAGAGCTCAACCTGTCCTACGTCCTCCTCGGGAAATTTAGGACGGACTCTTTAGAAGACCGCTGCGGAAGGTACCGGCGGCTGGCAGGCTCCCAATACAATGTGTCATGACGACGGCTTTACGAAGGGGAAAACAAGCTGCGGCTGCAGAACACGTTTACACCGTTTGGCAAAGCTTCCATAACAGAGAGATGAGTAATGGGAAGAAATGCAAAAACAGCCGAGACGCGCCGCGCCCTAGCTACAACATAGTAGGAACAGAAGATGCCCTTTCAAAAATAAAAATAAAAAACATCGTCCCCGTTCTAGCCTGTGTGGCCGGACATGCGGTGTACGCGATGGTGAAGAAGCCAAAATGAGAGAACTGTAAAAATTTTCTGACAGCAGACCGCACGATCGCAGCTGCCACCTCTATCACTGTCACAGACAGTGATAGAGACCTTCTGTACCCAGCAATGGCCGGATTCAATGCCGTTGCACACAACTACGAAGTTGTGGAGGAAACGTCGAAGTTGGTCTGCTTCTTAGCGATGAGTAACCAACGCCAGCTAGTCACGGACCTCACACTGGACTTGCTGGTCGACGAGGATTGCTTCGACTTAGATGTGTGTGAACAAGGCCACACGAGTAAGGTCGTGCTGAAGCATGTGTTGTACTGGTCTACAAACATTCTACTAAAAGCTTGCCGGAAGCTCAACGACAAAGTTGTAGAAACAAAAAAACAAATCTAAGAAACGAAAACTGGCCACGTCAGCAAAAAATGATGTGGATATCCTAGCATGAAAAATGACTACCGTTTTGTTCGAGATATCTACCGCGCGAGTCAATAAACACGTGTTTGTGCCGAAAAACTGGAGTAATTGATATCCTTGAGCGCTGCCCGGCGGCGCGCATCGGCTTCGTTTAGGCCGACTAGTGTGACGTCACGCGCGTAGACTTCCGGCCTTCCCCTCTAAGAGGGTTTGGACTGGTGCACAAAGAGCGCGCTGAAGAGGAGGAGTGGAAAGGGCACAAAGCGCACTTCTCCTCTATTGGTGACCAAGAAAAGCAGCCCGAAAGCACACTCTAAGCACAAACGGAGGGAAAAGGAGGAACGGTGCGTTTTCC